GTCCCTTTTTCGAAGCTTGGCACTTCGGCTTTCATTGTCTGCCGTGTTTGTTGTTTTCACATTTGGTGTCCGCCCATCCATTGCACCACCAGAATAGAGGCCCCAATGCTTTACCGGGCCTCTGCCGAAGCGCACAGGCCCGGGTGCAGTTCACTGCAATAGCAGGGACAGGCAGGGGCGTGAACTGGTGGTTTAAAGCGCAAATCAAGGCGGACGAAGCAGCGAAGATGGCCACTCTCAAGAGGCAGCTGGAAGACATGAAGGAGCTTCGATATGATCTGGCTAACCTCCAAGGCCAGATAAACTCGTACAAGTCTCCCCTCACTAAACCATCTTTGAAGCCTCGTGCCCCATTGAACAAGACTCCGAAGCGGACACTGAACACTGTCGGCACTGGCCCTAGTGGTGTGAAGAAGCCGGCGATCAAGAAAGGTGTTGGTAGACGGCCGAACGGCGTACGGATCTCAGCAAGGAGACGGATATTGGAAGGAGGCAGCTGTCGGAGAGTATGTTAAGTGCGCTGCAGATGGACGACCTCAAGAAACTCTGCACGAAGTACAATGTGCGGTATAAAGGAGTTCCGCAAGCACGTGTCGCTCTACATCACTGAGGATCTCGCTGATTACGCAGAACCGGGTGATGAAGTTCAGGGTAAGGAGACGACTCCCGAACCCACTGAAGAATCAAACACGACGTCATCGGAAGACGATGAGGAGGAGGTCGACCAATCAGATGAGGCGGCGGATTCCACTGATGCTGAACCATCGAAGGACGTACACCCGTCGAGCCAGTAGGATTAACTTGGCCGTCGTTATCTGGTCTCACGGAGAATATACTATGGAACTTTCTTCAGTGTTGTAGTAATTCGCTTGCGATTCTTGTCTTTCGTAAGCAGTGGATGGACTGTCGGGTTATCAACCGTGCATTCCGGATTTGCATGATCGCCTTGCTACGCAGGTCCCAGATATCATGGGGCAGTTGGATCGGGGAGATGATTAACCATCTGCATATGGACATATCGGTGCTGATTCAGTGCAGAGTCTGCGTGTACGTTTGGATCTCTCCATGGTGCCGACACATCTATATAGGTAAGACGATTAGGGGTATCGATACTCGATGGAGATAACATGCCGCTGCTGCTATCCGTAAAGAAAGAAAGCAGCATCGGAAGCTCTACTCATGGATTAGTAAATTCGGTATTCACCGATATGTCTGCATTCCTGTCTTTTGGGTTGGCAGAAGGACTGATGTCGCACACATGGAAAGGAAACTTATTCAGAAATGGAATCCTTATCTAAACACACTTCACAGATTCAAGTCGGATGGGAAAGTACGTACAAGAAAGAAAAGACGAAGCCGCTGGAATCACCAACGAACAAATCTAAGTCTTCCTATCTTGTTTCAATCTGATAATCTGTGTACCACTAAACTTTCTAATTTTATTAAACTTCATGCTGTGATTCAATCCTTGCCTGGTAATATGTGGATTGAGGCGTGGAAAGTAATTAAACGTCGATTCGGTGAGAGCATAATTACTCTGGGTGGTGAAAAATCTACCTTGCGTGATAGCAGAGCTCAGATTGAGTTTGGTTGCGTATTCCAAGTCTCCTGTTGTGTTGAGTATAAGTGTAAACACGATAGGGTCAGGAGAAGGCTTCTCGCACTTCTTCATGCACCATGGACTTGAGCTAAGCTTTATTACTGCTCATTAACCCGCCTTATTGATCTCTACTCCGACATGCGTACGATTGGATCAAAGAAGAGCAGGGGCATCCTACGATGTTGTCTTTCGCGAACAGCAATCAGAAAGTTTGGAGTGAATATAAGGAAACGACTGATACTTAGAATTCCTTTTTCTGTTGATATTGATATCGCTAAAGTACGGCTCCTTCTGCAGCAGACCATACTTTCTAATATCACTCACAAGTCTCTCGCTAAGACTCTTGTGAAGCGATCTAGAGTCATGTTTGCCAAATCCAAGACTATCGGGGATCTTCTGCACAATCACAGAAGGATGGTGACCACCAAACCCCCGTGCCCTTGCGCTTACTATGATTACCCGAAGGTTGATGGACACGTCTCCTTCAGGTTATCTGACTATATGTCGGACGCACTGATTTGTAACTCGAAGAATGTTCCCTACTTCCACGGTAGTGACAGCATGATAGCTATTCAGCAGTCTGTTTCATGTTTGATTGCCTGTCTACCAAAGAAATATTCTGTGACGCCACCTCTGCTGCATATTACCGACGATTGCATCATGAAGAAGGTTGGATTGAATCAAGGTGTTAGTATCTCAACCGTTTTGGACTGGAAAAGGAAATTGAGAGCCTTTATCCGTTGTCCTTTGGACCGAAATCCGGGCGAGACCTTCCTGGAATGCCCAATGGTGTTTTGGGACCGGATGCATCAGATGTTTTTGACAGTCAACAACTATGAGATCATTAACTCTACCATGGTGGATATTCTCGATCAAAACCGGATCACATATAAGGATCTGGGTTTGACGAAATTTGCCCCATGGAAGACTCAAGGTAGATACGGGCATGCTTACGTCATGCCTAAGCATAAACATGTCACGTAAAGAAGACCGATTGTCAAGACCTTTGAAGAACCGTCATTGCAAGCATCTAAACTGCTGTCCAGATGCATGAATTTCTTAACTAGACAGTTAAAACTTGGTTTTGGAATGTTAGGTACGAACGAGCTGGTCTCACGCATTCATAGAATCAACCAACATGCCGTTGATCTATTCCAAGACCAAGCTGCTGTCCTATACAACACCTTTGACGTGAAAGATATGTTCACTTGTCTTGATCATGCACACATCCTCAGAGCTGCGGATTGGCTGGTTTGTCAGTACCTAGCAAAGAATATTACTCATGTCTGTCTGAAATTAATAAGATCCACCTGGGGAAGGCCAAAGGACTATGGGGTTGGAAGACGATCAAGATTCGGGATTTACCACAACTCCTGTAGTTTGACATCTCACACGCCTATTTCATGGTACACGGACACCTGCCGAGGCAGGTGCTTGGAATACCGATGGGTAAAGGCTCGAGTCCTGCCATAGCTAATCTGGTTTGCAATTTTGATGAATTTTACTGGGTCCAATCACTTGGAACTGATGAGAGATTTATTCACGGGTCTAGATTTGTTGATGACGTCTTTTTTGCTGCAGTCTATGAAAAGGGCCAGCCACGGATGGCGCAGACCCTTCTTCGGCGTTTTGCAGACTGTAACCATTCGACCTTAAAACTTGAAATTACTGCCACTGATTCTGATGACTCGGTTAAATATCTTGAGACTTCGATATGTAAGCAGGACAAAGGACCCCTCCTAAAGTGTTTGCATCGTTTGAAAAATCTAGATTCACTCCGGGAGGGGTCTTCTGGGCGTTTTCATACGATCAAACACTTCTTGAGCTTTGGTCCAGTTAAAGGCAAAGCCTTAACCTTACTGGGAACCCTGCACCGTATCCTTTCCAATACAACGGTCGAACAGGATGCGATTCCGATGATCAAATTATTTTTTACCGACGCTCTCCTACTACGGTACCCAACGAAGTTGCTGAGACAATTGATCCTGGCTATCCTTCGGACCAGGATGCAGAGACGCACGGCCAGAGTCATTCTGACATGGCTTGAAAAGTTCACCAGTTAAGATCTCGATATTTTTGTAACTGTTTTTTGATATCTCCCAGTACACGGAGTTACGACGGCTGGTACTAAAATTTTTCGAACTTGGCCTTTTTTTAGACCAATTGTACATGATGGCAAAATCAGTATTTTTTAGCAGAGGATAGCTTATAGGCACTCCCTGCCACCCGGCAGGTAGGTAAAGTTTTTTGAAATTTAGGACTATCGAATACACGAAGTAGCGACGGCTGTTACTATTAAATATTTTGGAACTTGGCCTTTTTGTGANTTGAGCTTTGGTCCAGTTAAAGGCAAAGCCTTAACCTTACTGGGAACCCTGCACCGTATCCTTTCCAATACAACGGTCGAACAGGATGCGATTCCGATGATCAAATTATTTTTTACCGACGCTCTCCTACTACGGTACCCAACGAAGCTGCTGAGACAATCGATCCTGGCTATCCGTCGGACCAGGATGCAGAGACGCACGGCCAGAGCCATTCTGACATGGCTTGAAAAGTTCACCAATTAATAAGATCTCGATATTTTTGTAATTGTTTTTCGATATCTCCCAGTACACAGAGTTACGATGGCTGGTACTAAAAATTTTCGAACTTGGCCTTTTTTGAGACCAATTGTACATGATGGCAAAATCAGTATTTTTTAACAGAGGATAGCTTATAGGCACTCCCTGCCACCCGGAAGGTAGGTAAAGTTTTTTGAAATTTAGGACTATCGAATACACGAAGTAGCGACGGCTGTTACTATTAAATATTTTGGAACTTGGCCTTTTTGTGACCAATTGTTCATGAAGGCAAAATCAGTATTTTTTAGTTGAAGGATAGTTTATAGGCACTCCCTGCCACCCGGCAGTTAGAATTTTTTTTTTGAAATTCGGGACTATCGAATGGCTAGATAGGAACCTTCTACGTTTCTTACAACGAGCAGGATGATCTGAGGAAGGAGGAAGTCAGTTGGCGACCGACTAAGGATCTGGTAGTACTTAGAATTGAGGCTGCAAAGACACTATTTAAGATGAGTAGGCGTGAGCATCATTGCCTGAGTGGACGAGGCAGAAGGGTGATGCAGGTTGCACACGTGCTTGGCACACGTGCGGCCTCTTCTTCTTATTTGGCACATTATGTCCTCCTCGAGAGTAAAGCCTCACATTTTGTGCTAAGTATATTGAGTATTGAGTATTTCCCTTTTTGTTTTTTTATTCCATTCTTTCGGAGGGGTAGCCTTTAACATCGTGGAATCATTCCAATTCCATAGGGTTGAAATTTGAATGCGCAACACTAGGTCAACAGTTCTCAGTGTGCATTCACCTTCTTTTTTGTTTTTTAAAATTTTACTTTGATTACCATTAATACCTCCGTATTCTCAATGATGTGGTACATAGCCTCCATTTGGACAATTCCAGACCAGACCATCAAGGATCTAAACAAGAAAGCCAGAGCATACTTATGGTCAGGGAACCCTAACAAAGAAAACTACATCCCAAAAATAGCATGGCACTATATCACAAGGAAACCAACTCAGGGGGGACTAGGCATTATTGACCCCAAACAAAAAACGAAAGCCTTACAAGTTAAGTGGGTCATCAAGCTACTGACTAGTCAATCACTGTCGTGGAACAAACTAGCACAAGATAGCATCAGGAAGCTGGCCCCAGTGGAGTCCCCCACTAACATGTCCGGACTGTTCTGGGTCATGAAGAAGGACTGGAGTCCAAGAACAGGGAGGAGAAGACATGGGACTAGCGCTCCCCCATCGCACGACCAGACACCGATCCCCTATTGGACGGCCCTTATACGTATCTGGAGAGAAATCATGCCCGAGAAACAAAACAAACCCAGATCCAAAGGGGAAGTGCTCAGGCAGCCTCTGTTTGGGAACCCCTGGATCAGAGACGAGGGGGACCGCCCATGGACTCTCTCCCACAGAGGCAACAGATGT